ATGTAGAAATATAACCTGACTCCCCTGTATAGATGTGCAGGATGTCTTGGATGATGCAACTGTCAACGTCCTCACGCGGGGCAGTCTTGTTGATGTCACTGCCTGTATGTGCATAACTTCCTTGTAGAAATATGACCTAACTCGCCTGTATAGACGTGGAGGACGTCTTGGAAGATGCAACTGTCAACGTCCTCACAAAGCGAGATGGTTCCTTGGTCAATGTGGTCGCTGGTATGGCATTTCGGTCAGCTCGCGGTCTGGCGCTGATTTTTTTTCTTTCAGATGTCCAAGACGATTTGGATAATCTTACAGTCAATGTTCTTACCAAGCGGGTGGCCTTGTCGACGTTACAGCGGGCAAGTACCATTCGCCTGATTTTTGGTTGTCTTTAACAATCCCACAGTTGTTGAGGACGTTCTCAATAATCTTGATGTCATGTTCTTACCAAGCGGGATGATGGCCTGGTCGATGTTACAGCCTGCAAGTACCGTTACTTGATTTTTGGCTATCTTTAATACAATACCACAGATGTCGAGGATGTTCTCAACAACCTTGACGTCAACGTTCTTACCAGGAGGGACGATGGCCTGGTCGACGTTACAGCCTGCAAGTACCACTCATCTGATTTTTGGCTATCTTTAACACAACTCCACAGACGTCGAGGATGTTCTCAACAATCTTGATGTCAACGTACTTACTAAGTAAACTTCCTGTGCACCACATTATTTCGTCCTCTGGTCCTGGTTATGTCCGTCTGCTTTATAGTATACCCCTCACGAAGTAAACTTTCGGTGTTGTCTACCGTCAACCTTACGGGCTTCATGTCACTAGTCAACTACTATTCATTCATTGTGCTAGGGGAAGCGCAAGTGTGCAATATACGTCCTGAAACCAACATGTTCATAGGAGTGCAAGGTCTCTTCTAACTGGCCATTGTGCATGTGGCGTATTACAATAATCATGTTACCCGTGCAAAGAGCTTAACAATTCAGTCCAGATCGTCCGCGCCGCATGTCTTTTGCCTTTAGTATCCTCCGAACCGCAGCTAAAATATTGTCCCTCGCATCGCTCGATTCTATCACAGCAGCAGTGGTGGGACCTGATGTGCATGGCATGGATGGATACTGTCTCCATATTTCAAGATAACGCCCTGTTTCGAGTTCCTTCCTATCCTTATAGACGGCACAAAAAAGTACATGTAGCTTGGTTCAAAATTTGATCTCAAGATGGTCGCCGGGAGGTGCGGACCACGTCCTCGAAAGACTGGAGTGGCAAGGTCCAGAGCAGGGAGAGGGGTAGTAGTGTTTCTGTGAAGGAATCGAGAGGTTTAGCTAGCGACACGCTTCAGAGTCTAATCGCTGTAAGCAGGGCCTACCATATGATCGCGAACTGCTTCGTGATGGACATGTCGTTATGACTTGAACGCTGTTCACTACTCCGTCGCAATTACACCTACCTTGCATTAGCTTTACCCTCGAAATCTGACACTCATCATGTTTTCTCATCGGAACTCTTCGATTTCACCTTCAGGGGTGGTTTTCAATCGGGTAGGAAACGTGTCATTAGCCCCCTGATGGTGCTTATACGTACTAGGGTCGACGAAGGGATGATCTAACAGCTGTACGTGACAGGCCCCGCACTCGATATCATGCATCTTGGCCATTTGGAGTATCCGCTTTTAGGTCTTCAACATGTGGCACAATGGTGCCGTACTACCATCGCACTGTCGAACAATATTTACGAGATCCAGTTGCCCACTGAGGTTACCCCACTTCACTGATTCACCTTCGCTTTAGATGTTTCTTCTCAGTGATCAATTATATTCGGAAAACTGATTCTTGTCCTGCGGCCCTGTGCAACTTCTTTATCTAAGAACTTCATCAGATTGCGGTGTTCATACAGATCGCAAAACTCCGGTATAGTATACACTCGCGTACGGAAGCAAACTCACTTCAAACTTCGTCTCGTTAGGTCCAGTTGGGACTTATTCTTCGGCTCTACACAAAGGAACATTCAAGTGGCACCAGTACCTTCACACCGTTACTAATTGTATTCACTGTGGAAACGAGTTTTTATCCCCATAGGCTGAAGTAGAAATACTGACGATAAATGCACATTAACCAGATAATTGCGAATGTGGGAATCCTCAGTGCCTAGGGTAGAGCAAGGTGACCGTTCGACCCTCGATGATCCCCAGGTGGGTTAAGCGGCATGTACTAGGGTGGGATGGCTGTCTCACCACCTAACCCGATATCGGAATCACATCTGGATACTAGTTATGGGGATCTGCTTTTGATCTGAATTCTAGAGCGAGTTAGTTCTGATTTGCATCCGATTATCAGGCAAACGGGAGTCTGATAAAGGTAGAGATAGACAACACGTATTCCATGGTGCTTCTAGGGATTCGCGCTCCTCATGGCATGGCCCATCTTAATTACTTCCCTCCCTTTCCTCCTTCCAGCGCCAAGGTTCGCAGCTCGTCGAGGTTTTCAATACCGCCCCAGCGGTGCAGTAGCGAATACAGCTGAAAGTGCGGGAGGAATATGTCAAGATAGTCAAATGAACCTTACCGTGCCCTGCTAAAACCAGCGCCTCGCTTGTTGCCACTATTTGTCGATCTGCCAGCGTGGTTAACAAGGAATGATAAATTCTGTGCCAGTATACACCTGTCGGCATATCAGATCGAATTACAGTAAGCTCAGCCCACCTGCCAAGCAGACATCAGATTTAACCTTGTCGTCCGGAGACTACTTTTAGGCTCAACAGAAGGGAGAAACACAGATAATGGAAAATACGTACTCGCACTCGACAGCAGTTCGACCCGGTAGTGTGACTATATGCGCTATAAATGACCGATTTCGATCAAAAGAGCAGCGCTACTAGTTAGTTCTACATACCCATGAATAAAACGACGATCTAAATTGCAGCCTTGATAGCTTCAGGCTTCAAAGTGCCTTTCTCTCGAACAGGTGCCACTCGTCAACAGCGCACTGGCATGCAGCTCGGTTGGTCATCAAGGCCAAAGAACCCATCGAAGAAGTTGGGACCGTAACTTATGCCAGAGAGCTCACGGCCGCTAAGAAATGTGTGACCAGTTAGCTAAAGCTGGGACGGGTAAGTGACGTGATGAGCTGTTACGAGGTTACATGATGGTTCTGGCCAAAGGGACTTGGCGGAAAAATGGAACTCACCCCATATAAGTTTGAGGGTCAGGTTGTGAAGATGTTGTCTTTCCAGAGGGTAGATATCATTGGGTTATGAGTGCTGACGCGGAGAGAAAGGTGAAAACTCCAGTCTGCATTGGGTCGAGTTAGGACATGACCAAAAACAGAGGTTTGATTTGCATCCGTTTACGTGGTTTCCGCAACTCCGACGCTTCCACATCGAGCTTGGCCTTGGGTCTGGACTCTGGAATACTACGTCTTACGTCTGTACCACATTGGATGATACACCTAAATACCCTCGGATCAAGGTGGAACTAAAGTATCGTTTCCACAGTGATTAATGGGCATGGTATCAGCAAATCGGAGGGCACAAGTTACGCTGAATGCCCTCGTTCAACAAATGCCACAAAGTTACAAAAAACCTTGGCTCGGACTCGTACTTGCGGCTCTGCCACACGCTGAGGCTAAGGGAACCACATGAGGACTACAATCAATGGCAATCACAGCGAAAATTACGCGAATTGTTACCTTGTGGTATGTACATAACCGTTAGCACCGTTGATAGGCGCTTCTAGTTCAAAAAACAGGTTCTTTCGATTATTTTCGGGTGACAAAACGTCACAAACTATGAACCGTGGTCGCCATGAATCATGTTCTATTCGGACCGCAGATAACAATTTACACATTCTTGATGGGCTAGGTATAAAAAGAGTCACATTGATTTCTATAGCTCATTCGTTCTTTACCCTCAACTCCAACTATCTACCTTCTCCCTATCCACTATGCAACTCACTCTTTTGGCATCCCTCGCTGTTCTCTGCAGCACTGCTTTCGCTGCCCCTCTTGCGGCCCGCACCAAACCGGCTGAAGTCCTTGCCTGTGCGTGTCTAACTTTGTGATATAGAAATATGGACTAACCCACATGTATAGATGTGGAGAACGACTTGAGCAACCCAACTGTCAACGTCCTCAACCGGGATAATGCTAAGGTTAAAGTCGTCGCTGGTATGGCACTTCCTTCAGCTTACAGTTCGTCACTGAGTATTTTGCAGACGTCCAGAACGATTTGAATAACCTTAAGGTTAATGTTCTGACCAAGCGAGGCAGCTTGGTCGACGTTGATGCCTGTAGGTACCTTCTACACGATTTTTGACTGTCTTTGACCCAAGCCCACAGATGTTGAGGATGTTCTTAACAATCTTGATGTCAATGTTCTTACCAAGCGGGGCGGTTTGGTCGACGTCGATGCCTGCAGGTACCTCCACACGATTTTTGGCTGTCTCTAACCCAAACCCACAGATGTTGAGGATGTTCTCAACAATCTTGATGTCAATGTTCTCACCAAACGGGGCAGTTTGGTCGACGTCGATGCCTGCAGGTACCTTCCACACAATTCTTGACTGTCTTTAACCCAAGCCCACAGATGTTGAGGATGTTCTCAACAATCTTGATGTCAATGTTCTTACCAAGCGGGGCGGTTTGGTCGACGTCGATGCCTGCAGGTACCTCCACACGATTTTTGGCTGTCTCTAACCCAAGCCCACAGATGTTGAGGATGTTCTCAACAATCTTGATGTCAATGTTCTTACTAAGCGGGGCGGTTTGGTCGACGTCGATGCCTGTAGGTACCTTCCACGCGCTTTTTGACTGTTCTCACCCAAACCTACACAGATGTTGAGAATGATCTCAACGATCTTGATGTTAATGTTCTCACCAAGCGGGGCAGTTTGGTCGACGTCGATGCCTGCAAGTATTATTCACATAGTTTTTTTTGCTGTCTTTAACCTCAACCTCACAGATGTTGAGGATGTTCTCGACGATGCTACTGTCGATGTGCTTACCAAGTAAATCTCTGCACGTTATCTCGTCCTCTGGTCCCAGATATTTCCATCTGCTTTATAGTATACCCATCAAAAGTAAGCGTCTTCCGGTGTCCTCCAGCATCTGTTACCAGTTAGCCAGTAATCACTCATTGCAATAGTCATGCATTATGGATTCGTATCATTAGTCGTTCTCATGAGTGGTACGTTCCGCCCTACGACCAATTTATGCATGCAGGGCGCGAGCGAAAATTTATCTCCTAAAATGGAAAGGTTGAAATGAGGTTGTATAATAGCAGTGGACCCAGAATGTGTGATGGTTCCATATGTATGACTCTTGTGTGGAGGATTAGATGTAATATTATTGTCACGGGAATGTTCTGCGCGAAGGTGCCCAATTTGACATGATGTCTCATTTGATTCCTTTCGGTGATGTGGCATTGCTATCGAACGCTAGCGCGTTCGTTGTGTGACTAAATGGATGACTCCAATATCATATTTACATACTAATCAGGGATCTTGCGAAAGACCGCAAGTAAAGGGTCATGCAAACAACTGGTAGAAGACTGGGCAAGAAACTCCAAGGTAGTCGCGTCATACAGCAGGAACAGTAAATAAGCATAGAATCTCTAAACGCAATGCCATGAACATGCCGCCGATATATGTTGCATAGACCCTACCTACGGAAAGATTTAACTATTTTCTTGTTGGCATTCTGGCTGAGAATATTCATGGTGACATTGTTGAGAGGGTCTTCTATGATTGAGAAACGAGCCTCATATATAACTTCCAGAGGCGGATAGCACCCACCAGCACTGATATTCACCAGAGTGCCGCCAGCGCACCCGTGATCGGACTCATTTCTCTTTGTCATATAGTTCGCTGTAGTCGCCATGCAGTCAAGAATAAATTGACAAGTACAAATACTCTACCTTTGAGGCCATGAGCTATCATTTCAGAGCAACAGACTCGTGAACGGTAATAATATTAGCAAGACAATTGATACAACGCACCGAACGCAGAATTGGCATGATGGTCATCTGCTCATACGAAGTAAAAATTCGTCACCACAATAACACGTTGGCCGACACAGAACCAAACCCCTGCTTACTTTTTAATAGAGCTGCGAGGGTGAGTGCGAGCCCACCAAACATCACCAAAAGACGGTAAGTCAGGAGGAATATTGCATCTTAAGGAGTGGGAATTCAAAAGGAGCGACTTTGGTACCTGCGACGATAAGAATGGAGAGAGGCTGGAAAGAGGACTAAGAAGGTTTTTCGGTTTGGCAAGATTTTAGTATGATCCATACCTGGCTGGATTGAAAGCACGATGTTTTATGGAACAAAACCCGAGACTCCAGTTGTTCCAGGTTGTCCCGTATCATACTGTTTCTAATGGCTAAATCCCGACGCTAATTAATTATCTGGCATGAAAATACTTACTAGTAGACAACTTGGTCCTAGTCTGTGGCATACTAAGCGCCAACTCAAAAGCATGACATCAGACTCACAATTGAACATTAGACATTGAACGTAATTTCGAGCAGTTCATTCAAGTTGTAATAGACGGCGGAGCCAAATGATCCTGTGACGCAAGGACTATGTGTTAGCGACTTGGCATGCCACATAATCAGAAACAAACTACTTCTGAGGTTTGGTCTGCCTGACTCTACTTATGCATAGAAGACCATCCACAGGCATGCTGAGCGCTTGCTGATCAGGTGTATGAGAGCATCCTCAGGCTCCGAGTCGAGTTAGAGAAGGGCAAGCAGCAACCCAAATCAGGCAATGTCTGATTTGAGAACTTTTGGTTACTGCGAACACGGCCGGTGACCGGTGACTGTCCGAATGTTAAAGAACTAGGTCACAAGTCGGCGGCGGCGGTAGTGTTGTGGGCAGAACTGGTTGTGCCTGGCAGATGGCAGAACTCAGGGTTGGCAGAGAACTAGTCCATAACTTTACAAATGTGAAAACAGAGTTGCAGATGCTCTCGGCTGATCCTCCGTCCTAGAATATGGTCCATGCTGGTGGCCGCCCAGTGCCATCCCTAATCAACAATAACTCCGACCATCTCAACAAAGTTGCCAACAGTTCTGGCCGCTACCTCTGGAAATGCAAGCACTGTGGTCACCTCGACAATTCCCCCGGTGCCAAAATCCAAGGTCGCAACAATAACCTGCCTAGCCATATCGTCCGCTACTGCAAGGATGCTACTCCCGAACTTCGCCATGCTTCCACTTGCGGCAGAACCACAAGATGTAGACGACCTCATTGCAGGTCCCGAGACCATATCAGTTGATGAAATTGCCGAAGCATTTGTTGCTCTCGAAGCACAGGAGAATCAGGAAGAATTTGTGAGTATTGACAATGTGGAGGTCCTTGGAGGAAAGGTATTTGATTTTGCCGAATTGGAGCGTGTTGACTAAGGGATAATACCCCAAGCTGCTATAGATAAGGTTGATGTCATGAATCATGATGGTGAGGATGATGGATGGGACGAGGCGTCGTTGATGTCTTCGGTAGGATTGTCATTGATGTTGTAGATAGAAAAGTTTCACCACCAGAGTTATGCCACTCGACAGAACCGATTATTCTGCCAGTTCTGCCGGCAAAACTAACCTCAAGTAGTTCTGCCCACAACACTAGCGGCGGCCCAGGCCACCAATTGCCACCCAACTGATCGAAGTCTCGAATCACACTGAGCAACACTAATATATGACGGCCGGCCAGTGGTACATACCTCTGTGATACTCAACGGAAGTGAACAGCACGCAGTGTCACGGTATCAGAATCATCACATGTGCTTGTGGTAGACTTGCCACTAAAGTAGTTCTGCTTTGTCTGACAATAGGTTCAACACCAAACAATTCACACCAAAATAGGGTGTGGACAGTGGACAAACGCACATCCACTACCGTGTACCCACCGCATAATTGATACCGTATATAAAGATCAAGGTAAAGCCCAAGTAAAGTAAAAGAAATAGCTGACCGCGTAGAGACGAAATATCCAGTCCTCCACTCCCCATATTCCCATCGATTACATCATGCAATGTGCACTAGACAACACTCTTCTCGAAAGCTCCGCAGACCACCAAGACACTCCTCATGTCGACACTCTCGTAACCCTCGTACTCAGGAAACGCTCTCACCAGCGTTCTGATAGTCTAGTGGCTATAACACCGTCAGCAATGGACGACTCCAGCTCTGCCGTGTCCAGTGAGCTGGACTATGCCACCACTGACGAGCCATCAATGCAACACAGCGAGGAGCTCGTAGTGGATGGAGACACGGCGCCTCTGACCCCTCAATCAGATGCGCAGAGGCTGGCGGCCCTCGTAAGGTTGAAGATGACCACAGATGAGCCTCTTCAAAGCTGTCTGTCGTCCTATTCAGAGGAGAGTCACTGTGGACGTGATCAATCATCCCCTACAAGCCCCCAAGGCAGTATCGACTTGTCAATGCACCCATCCGACCTCACATACATTGACTCAATCCTCGCCCAAGACGAGGCTCTCGAGGTAGAAGCCATGGCGCGGTTGCAAAAAAGTCCTATGTTGAGGTTGAGAATGAGGAAGAGAGTATTCTCAATTTGCGTCGGAGGGTGGCGGGGAAAAGATCGGAGTGTTGAGAAATGAGACCAACCAACAACAATTTGACTATCTTATGTTAACACGTACCAGGGGGGATGTGACGAGAAGAGACTGGACAATGTACTTACGTCCAATTATTGAAATGTAACCTGCTATATCTGCTGTGAATATAGAGATCAGAGAAGGGTCCAAATGTCGTGAGGCGGTATCTAGCCCCAAAGACGTGCTCGTGTCAAACATGAATCAAGCCTGACAGGACTGGTGAATAATATCATCTGGGTCTGATCTAGCACATCAAAGGGTAATTAGCCTTCATTTGAACTCACTTCCACATTTTTGAAACAGTCTAGCATGTATGCTAACCAACCATGCTTCGTTTCCTCCCTCTTAGTCGCACTAGACAAAGAGTGAGTACACGGATCTGGTCATGCACTGAGCTCAGCTAACCATCATCTAATCTCTTTTTAATTGGCAGCCAATGTTTGCACATGCGCTTCTCATACGCGCTCAGCACTCCCGCAAACAGTGGCTCCGAGTCAGGATGAGTTGAGGCAAAGGCGCGTTCCAGGACATAAAGGTCCACAGCCTTATCTTCTACGAGAGTAGAATGATAGGCGAGTCCAAAGTCTATAAGAACCTGAAAATGACATTAAAAAGACAACCGCATCCTCTAGTACTATCATATACCAAATCACTTGTTTGTTTCCTCAACATCATGTTCGAGGTCGTCAGATCACCATGAATTATGTCGGCCAAGTGCATCTTTGCAATCTCAACACCGATCATATCCATCAGGGCATCTACGGAAGTTGAGTAGGATCCAATCAGCATGCGAACAGTCCTACCTCGAGAGACTCCATAATCAGTAATTGAGTCTGCAGCGCCATTTTCATGGATTTCATCCACCTCTCCAAGCTCGCTGATGTCCTCGAGTTCAGCCCCACCGGGTAGGATTTGACGCACACTCTTGCCATCTATCCACTCGATACCCAGTACACCTTCGTTCACATCCACCATCCTGATTCCGGGTACAATGACGCCGGACCTGCCAAGGTCCACGTCGGCTCATCTCCACTGAAGACGGCACAAATTTGACGTACCGCATACATCTCATCAACGCGCGAGCTTCACCGGCTATACGTTGCCGGGTGAGTGATGTATCGAGTGACGGGTGGCGGTAGTGCTTGCGGAACCGGTACTTCAAGAGAACCGGTTCCAACGCCTCAAGAGCTGCACCGTGACCAATGCCATGGCCTGATGTCGAAAATTGACGTAGATATGCTTTGTAGACTTTCTGCGCGGAGCATTAGAAAGGGTGATCGGGGGTTCAAGTGAGCATGGGGCGAAGTAGAAATTGATTGAGAGGACTTGCAGCTTCAGCGCCCTGGGAGATGAGATCCGCAGACTGTAATAGTTGCTGCGTCGGTGGTTTGGAAGACCATGGGGAAAGCATGATTAGGGTTTGACTCTCAGAGATAGTAATCGATAAGATTCAACCCAACATAATCTGGCAATTCCCGATTGCTTCTCCGAGGACGTCAGTCTGATTTCAGCCAGCACATGATTCTGAACAACTTTGACATAATATTTGCTCTCTGAAGTCTTAGTGCGAGGTCCTGGAATCCCGGAACTATGCACTGCCAAAATCCATATCATTCTTTTCACCGCATGCTCCGAGTCTCAGATGATCTAAACTTCGTGAGCAGACACTCGCTGGCAATAACTTCATCGTAACGATTGCAGAAGAAGGTTTCGGATGTTAAGTGCAAGACTATTCATCAATACTAGGATTGGAAATAATAATCGTCGAGCTTCGTACAGGCTCCACCCTAACAACCGTGCTGCAGAAATCCTACAAAGAGCAGCTGTACAGGCGCCCTTACTAATGTTCTGATATATAAGTCGGCTAACGACGGAACTTGACCCCAACTCGTCAACTGATCATTAATTCGAACCAATATGTCAGGAATTCGGTCGGGCCTAATCATCCTCCGACTTTTACACGACTCCCAATAAGTTCAATCGCTCTGAGCCCTGATTCCGCAACCAGGGTAACCTATTATGGTGCAAGGTGGCCCCAGAAGGTGAGTTTTGTGGAATATATATATATACATCGGAGGATGACAATCCCCGTCCTACACAGGCTCATTTGGTGTGGTTGATGGCTGGGCGAGCACCCCTAAAACAGTAATACATGCCGCTGTTGCCACTTGCAACTCGATAACGACGACTACAAACTGGATTGTCAGAGATTGCGCACTCGAAATTGTCATTTGCGTTAACATTGTTAGCACGGCACCATATGTTCCTCTGACCTGCTGCAGGAAAACTCGTGCACACTCTTCAAGTTTAACGCAGTGGCTACCCCTAGGAGCCATATTTGAATAAGTGAGTTATTTACAAAGTCCACACAAACTGCTGCCACCAGTAAAGTCACTAATAGGTGTGCTGACTTGCCAACGAGACGCAGTCTCACTAGATAAACCTTACTTGGATACGTCAAGGCTTGCTAATATCATCGGTCGATTATTCTGGCCGTCTGTTAATTCCCGAGTCTTCGGAATATCTAGTAGGCTTCACCTTCTCTCACATCGGAAACATGTTCATCATACATACGTTAGCTTACCCGAGATCGTATCTAGCCCTGCGTGATATGCTTGGCTGACTGATTCTTCAGCCCAAAATCACCATCGTGAAAGACATACTGTGAAGTTTGGTTACCAGGATTGCAATATATTGAATTCAACTATGCAATCGTTTTATCCATATGTTCAATATCCATTTGTCCAACAGCCAATGCAAACAGCGGCATCCCCACACATGGTTTCAATGTTTGACCCCGTTGAACCACTCAAGCAGCCTGTTACTTTCCCATTTAGCGGACGAACGGCAAAAAATAGGTTCTTGAAGAGCGCGATGTCAGAACGCTTGGCCACTTTCTCGACTTTTGATCCCAGTGGTCGGGGACAACCAACGGAGGAACTTGTACGACTGTACGAAACCTGGGCAAAGGGAGATATCGGTGAATTTCATCCCATCCTTGATGACGCTCTTATAAATTTCTTAAAGGGATCATTGTCACTGGTAACATACAAATAAAGAAAGATCATCTCGAAGCTACAGGTAGTCATAATTTTCTACGAAAACAATTGCGAGGTTGATGTTCGTGTAGGGAATACTATCATCGACAGAGATCTCCCCTCGGTTTATCTCCAGGAGTGGACAGAGGTGGCGCGGGCTGCCAAGTCACAAGGGAGCTTGGTCATCGGGCAACTTAACCATCCAGGGCGTCAGGTTTCCATTAACATACAGCCATATCCAGAGGCACCGTCTGACGTCGAGCAACCCTCGACTGGAGACGTTCTCTTCGGGCGACCCACACCTCTAACAAAAGATGGCATCAAGGACATTGTAGATCGCTTTACATATGCAGCCTCCGTCCTGCACAGGGCTGGATTCGATGGCGTCCAGGTAATGTTATTTTACTAACATCGGGCCAGTTCATTGGTTAATCAGACTCAGCTCCACGCCGCTCACGGCTACCTTCTGTCACAATTTTTAGCCAAGAGGACCAATATGCGAACTGATGAATATGGCGGATCGCTCGTAAATAGAGCTCACATTCTTCTCGAGATAATCGCTGCAATCAGACGAGCGGTTCAAAACCCATCTTTCATCATCTCGGTCAAACTCAACTCACAAGATTCTATCCCTGAGGGATTCTGCATCGAGGAATCCATAATGGTCGCCAAACTGCTCGAAATTGCAGGAGTGGACTTCATTGAAGTCAGTGGGGGGGCTTATGAACAAACCACCCGCAGCTCTCGGGACAAGGTAACACTTTTATATTTCACAGGCAGTCCAGAGTTGATACCGAGCGATTATAAGCCGTATACTGTTG